TCAAATTACTAAATAAGTGTTTCATATAGAATTCATCAGGGGTAAACTATTTGAAACTTATACAATATAATAATTTCCTCCACCCTAACCCATAATTGTAACAAGATTCACATAGATTGAAGAGGGTATCAGACTGGTGTTAGTGATGTATCAACTTGTATAAGAGTGCACAACAACTTGTCGTCATGGTACATTATTACCTATATAGCATTTTGGTATATCTGAGCAGGTTGAAAAAGTGTTGATTTCATGGGTGAAGCACATTCTCAGGCAAGACACTGTCAGATTAACAAAGTTAAGTTATTAAGCTTGATTTTCCTGATTAATTTTTTTAAAAACCTCAATATTTTTTACACTGCAGGTGTAGTTTTAAGTTGTAAGATCGTGAAATAAATAAATATATCAAACAAGAAGTTTGTACATACCGGTATTTTTCCTTATGTCGGTAAAACAAAAGCTACATTTAAATATTCAATTCTATGATTCACTACAATTTTTGCTATTACATGTAGTTATTTTTGTAATTTTTGCATTTTTTTATGGCATTCGCAGCGAACAAATTTTGCAAAAGTCACTATGTTGTAGTAAATTTCACGATTTTACCTGACTCACGAAATTTGTGTACTGTGGAATACTTTATTTTCGCTGGAATTAATTTTCACTGAAAAGGCATTTTGGGCGTTTTGTATGGAATTTATTTTCACTGATTTTTGATGAGTTTAATGTGAAATATAAGAAAAAAAGTATATTCGCTGGATTTTATTTTCACGGTATCATCTCTTCAGCGAAAATAAATTCCAAGCGAAAATAAAGTATTCTACAGTATATTTGTGTATATTTTTGCTATTACATGTAGTTATTTTTGTAATTTTTGCATTTTTTATGGCATTCGCAGCGAAAAAATTTTGCAAAAGTCACTATGTTGTAGTAAATTTCACGATTTTAACTGACTCACGAAATTTGTGTATATTTGTCGCTTGCAAAATAAAAACAAAAACAAAAGTGTATTCAGCGAAAATTAATTTATTAAGTATGTGGAAAAATTGTCCACCGCCTTCCCCCTGAATTCAATGATTTAAAAGATATGAGACATCTTGAACTATATAATTCTATCTAGTTACCATGCTATAATATAACAGTTACAGATTTAATTTAAATTATTAATATTTAATGAATAATAAGAAATGGGACTAGACCAAGATGACAATGTATTCATAACACCTTGTCTTTTCCGTCACTGTCTCTATTCATAGGACACTTGAAACAGAAAGGTTACATGTACAATAAAAGTCATTCCCATTCACGATCACAGAACAAAGACAGAATCATGACACATCAAGAAATTTACAGAATACCGTACTAGCTTTTTTATGATAACCGCAACTCTAAGAATATTAATAGGTGGTGATCTGATAACAGTTTAAAAAAAGGAATTTCCTGACTGTGTCTGTTCGTCCATATATACGTAATAACAGGAAACAGAGTATGATCAGTTTCACTACAAACTGTGGACAAAAAAATGTCCTTCAGTGAAGTGAACAAAGAGAGGAAGGACTATGTTTGAGCAAAAAGTCAGATCAATAGCATTGAATTAATTCAATGGCAAACAATACCCATTTGTTCAAGAGAAAAACATTCTACACTAGACGCCCACACCAGATCTATGTACAATAGCATGACAAAAATCACTGGTTATAAATATTATCAACTTCAAAAAGTTGGCAATGGTTTTCTTATTTAAAATCAGTTTTAAAGACAAATTAAAAAGCATACATTTTTAAGATGTATAATCACAACCTTTGTGATGTCAATTCAGTTATAGATTGCATCAATCCCACCCTCTTACAATCATTCTGTTAATTATTTTTTAATAAAATTTTGTATTAAATTGACTTATTTTGGGACGACAGTTCTGTCATAGAATGCACCGATTCTACCATTTCCTCACACTATTTTTGTTAATAATTTCTTAATTAGTTTTTGTACCAAATCAGGCTGATATTTCAGTCACAATATGCTCATGCAGTGACAGGACATATTCAAATGAGAAGCTATATTATGATTATAAAGATCAACAATCTACACACTGGAGCTAATTCAGCAGATTAATACTGGATTAAAAAATTACATTACCAAACTTGTACATTAGGTTTTAAAAAATCAAATACCAAAATTGACTTTTCTACTACATGTAGTTTGAAATCACACTTCAAACTGGAGTCTATAGACTTTCATAAATCCTGAAATATGATTTTTTGTTTTATATTATAAAATATTTACTTACCAGTATGAGTAATCAAAAGAGAACTGTAGAAAAGAAACGAAACTTTGGTTAATTACCGAACATCAAATACTGTGGAATACTTTATTTTCGCTGGAATTAATTTTCGCTGAAAAGGCTTTTGGGGCGTTTTGCTTGGAATTTATTTTCACTGATTTTTCATGAGTTCAATGTGAAATATAGGAAAAAAAGTATATTCGCTGGATTTTATTTTCACGGAATCATCTCTTCAGCGAAAATAGCGAAAATAAATTCCAAGCGAAAATAAAGTATTCTACAGTATATACCTGGTCAAACATTTTTTTTTTCTACTTGTATTGTTTTGATTTCTCCCAATACCAGAAAGTTACTCAAGTGTTGCTTTTATTCATATCTGTTACAAGTGCAGTGAATGACAAACAAGTGTTTTTTTTTAACGTTCATTGATGAGCGATTTTTTTTCTTACTTAAGGAAATGTCATTTAAACCAATTCTAGAAAGTATATAATGGATACGCTAACAATGCCTCTCATATTGAATTACAACTCCCACACATGGAATGGCACGTATAGAAGGTGCATTGATTACCCGTTCTTACAACTCATCACTAAAATGCTTTCTAAATATAATTTATCAAACGAAAGAACGGTATTTCAGTTGGTTTATATTAATAAAATAATAAGCCTTACCGTTTTAGTCTCCTCTGTGAAGGAAGAACAAAAAAAAAATGAGTTTCCATAATGACTTAAATCATGCATGTGTAACAGTCTATTGTGCATGCCGTGGTCATTTATTTTATCATAAAAGTGTTGTTTATGGATCAGCGTATACAAGGGATACAAAAACAAGGATTAGTGTGCAGTCCAACCTCTTTAAATTCTATAGTGAAGTTTTTAGTGCAAAATAAGCCAATGTAAGGACAAAACGTCTAACATATACTGATGAACAGGTTGCATTGCCAATTATAGCTTGAATTTATTTTAAAGAGAAGTGCATGAGTGCATATCAAATGAGAATGTGTAGGTGTTTGAATTAGATAATTAAAACTAATATTATTTATTTACTCAGACTAATATTTCTAATCCCAGATTATCTCCTGTGTACTGTACACATTCACTGTAACACAGTTACTAAAAAAGACTGTAACTAACTATCCTCATATGTTAAAATAGCGTAATCATGAAATAAAGTCATTATAATGATATACCAAGTTTAGTCATTCCACGGTTACTTGCTGGGCACTTATAATTATATAATCCAAGCTTGCAAACGTTCTATATCTAAGACTCTTTGAATACTCAAAATTTGATATTAACAAATATATTTGTACAGCTATATTGTCACTATAATAGTTTCGTCAACACCATAACTGATACTTCTAAACACATTGATTTTTCGCTTGGTTTTAATTTCACTGATAACTGAAATTTGGTGAATTTAATCCACATGAGGGTGTAAAATTACAATAAAACTAATTTTACTGAAATCTGTAAAATTTTAAATCCAGGGAATATGCTCAAACTATCAATATACTGAAATTGAAATACCAATGGAAAATTAATGTTTCCACAGTAGTTACTATTTATGTAAATTGATTCCTATCTGAGAGTGTAAATATTAACCTTCAAATTTTGAAAACGTGCAGTGCTGTATATATACTATTTAGTTATTGTTATATACTTCCCAGAATGCACTATTCACTGGAATTACCACTGGTTATGTATTGTGAGTTAAATTAGGTTGGGGGAAAAAGCTATCCCAATTCAATTACAGTCGAAAAAGGGAAATATACAAAAACATTTAAGTGAAATGATAAAATAACTACCAAATTGCAGAATTAGATTGTTTTCTGTCACTCACTTTACATTGTTAATAAATTAAATTACGTTTTCACGTACTGTAAAATGACTAATTTTCACTGGGTTTAAATTTCACTGATTTACCATTTCAGGCATATTCAGTGGGTTTTAAGTTCACGGTTTCGTCATTTAGATAATGTGTTCTATGCTAAATTTTACATATTCACTGGGTTTTAAATTAGCCATTTTCCAGTCAGCGAAATAAGCTAAATTAAAACCCAGTGAATAATTACCCCCTTTACAGTATAACGGAAACACTAATGAATCAAGTTTTTTACTTCGTCAATTGCAATGTACAATTTGTTTAAAATGAATTTTAAATTGTATTAAGTAGCTTACATTATGAGTGTTACACAGTCTCAGTCAATTTAATACAGAAGACGAAATAGTTTTCATTTTTTTTAAATTAATTTTCATGTGTATGCAGCTAACGTAATAGCAAGTGCGTCTATGGAATAACTAAAAAATAAATATAGTTTATTGTTATGCGAGAGGGTGTTCCATGGACAAGAACTTTCTTTCGTATTTCTAGTACTATATTTTATATTATCGACAATATGCAGAGAGCATTATCTACTTTGTATAGCGTAGTTTTCTATTGAAAACAGCGCAATGTCATAAATTAAATGGTATACTAGTACTCACTCGTGTCTGGATTCGTTATTTTGGTCGAGGTTCCTTGCATTTCAATAATACATTTTGCGGCACGGTCATTTTCCCTGTTAGCACATTTAAACAGAAACGATTATAGCAAGTCATGTCATCAGAGATGGAAAAAAAACAACATCGAAAAACTCTGTGCAAACGAACATATTAGTATGGCAGTGCGTACATACCTCTGGTTGAATGGACGAACTCGGACGGCAACTTTCACCCTACAAGTAAAGACACAGGAGTATTTACTTACGACATATTATAGCGCGGGAATCAATTCAAATTGCCGGAATGAAACACATGGACAAATACTTACGACTCGCCTTTGTCCGCCATGGTGAACTTGGCGTTTGTAATATCCTATAGGACTCGAATTGAGCGTTATATCTCCCCCAGAACGTCACAAAGGTTGTTACTGTTCATACACGGATATAACTACAGGTAGTGTGTAGACCAATTATGTATTCATGACAGGGGAATGTATTGCTGAACACCTAGCAACCCGGTAAACCTGTGACGTCAGGGTCGGAGGTCGTACGGTACGACCATTTGGCAAAAAGGGGCGGCTGCTATACTGAACTAAGTTGAGTTGGCAAGGAACTTCGTGTATTTTTTTGCCGTAGTAAAACAACTCGTCGAAACACAGAAATGGGTCAATTTATTATGATTTCATTCTGAAAATGTAATTAAAAAATAGTTTGAGACACTATATCTACTTCTTATATGAACGCATTGTAAGATGGTTCTCCATTCTCACTTTTTGTAACAATCCGAACTTCCGGTTCTGAAAGCCTGAACACTACATGTATACAAATTATACTGCTATGTAATCATTCGCATCTTTGACTACACTTTAGTAGTACAGAAGTGACATGCACCATGGGAGTACCACAATGCACTGCGGGCTTGTAGATGTATATAGTGTGATAAGGATGTATATAGAGGGACTGTGGTTAACTTGTTTAATATAAAGTATTCGAACATAACCATTCGTTTTATATATAGATTTTTTTCCATGTATAAAAATGTTCACTGACCCAAATAAGTTGCAGCATTCTGAACTTCATGCCATGGTTGTTATTTTCAGCAAATGCAATGAACTGTACATGTTATCAACATTAATTTCGCTAAGCCATGGAGCTAAACTAAAAGACCGCACACAAAAATTAAGTAGTGCCCAGTGGTATAACTATAACTCTACGATTAAAATACTTTTATTATTTTTGAATGCGGTGTTTGTTGAGAAATATCCCACAGCGTCTTTATTCGGCGGGATAAATACCGTGTATGTGTCCATGGCCTTGACCACCCCCTGTACAAAATAGCGAGTACTCGACGCTGGCAAAATCACTGTTTGTTTGTTTTTATTTGGTACGTGCTTGTATGTTTATATGTGTTTGTTTGACTTTCTTTCGTTTCCAATTGTGCATGTCAATACGGCGTGCAGTTACCACACGTTTACAGTGTACTGAATCATCGGCCATACAAACAGTGCACCGAAGAGGAAATCGTACCACCCTCTACCGTCCAACGTCACTCGGTGATCGTTGTTGACGCGTGATACAGGTTGCTTCGAGGTCAGGTTCAGTTTAGAGGTGTTAGCGTAACCTTGTTGGCGGTGAATAAATATCAATTATTGAGGAGGGATTTTAACTTAAATCAGTAATATTTAGGAAGGTAATTTTTCAATATTTTGCGAAAATATTCACGGCCAATTCAAGTTCCACAAAAATGTACCATAACTCCAAGCTTATATTTTTAACGTTTTAAATAATCTACTGTGTTCAAGTAAATTAAATGTATGAACAAGTAAAACGGTTCATGAAAACACAGTTTCTTTATCAAAACAGAAGTTTTCAGAACGGCATCTGCATTTCTAGTATATCCAGTCGTAGACCACGTGGATCCGGCAGTACACTATTATTTGTTGAAATGCGGGGTGGAAATATGTTTGTATACGCTGAGGATAAGAAAAATCACAATTCATGTACCGTGAGTAATCTCGGGATCGAGGTCGTATTGACCTTTGACAGCACTTGTTGTTGATATGGACAAGACAAAGAAATCCAATCAAATATGGTATGTAAATATATTTCCTATAAAGCCGATGTAAAGGTATTTCCCATTTATGCAATGTCAACAGAGAAGATATTTTTCCCGATATTTATAGTTACAGAATACTGTAACGGCATACTATTTGATAATATTTGGTAATCTAAGTTACAGAATACTGTAACGGCGTACTATTTGACAATATTTGGTAATCTAAGTTACAGAATACTGTAACGGCATACTATTTGATAATATTTGGTAATCTAAGTTACGGAATACTGTAACGGCGTACTATTTGACAATATTTGGATATCTGTGTTATAGAATATTGTAACGGTATACTATTTAAAAATATTTGGTAATGCATTCAATAATTTAAAAAAAAAATGCTACTAAATCGTGTTCAAACAAAGTTCAAACAATCATTTTGCACATATGTCGACATATAGAAGACATGAATATATTGCAGTTACAAACTGACATGTATTCACAAAATGCCTAATTTGAATTTCAGACGGCATGGCGCCGATAATTGGACAATTATTTCCGGTATTATTCGGACCTTGATAAAATAATGCTGTCACCGTGGCTCACGTAATTCACTGGTTCGATCGGAAATCCGTTTTTCTACGTACTGCAGAGGCACTTAGTAGCGGAAACATTATTTTAACGTGCTGAGGTAATAGGTCTATACATTGTTATCTATTTGCACTATCGTTAAATTAATGCCATAAAATATCATATGTATATTGTTTAGGACACAAGTCATGATTTTTTTTTTACTATTACCTGAATATTTTAAAAACAATTTCTATAGGAATTATTGTAAAAACACATAAATGAAATAAAATAGAATCATTGTTTTAACCATCTTAACATAACCCATGATTCGTTCACCATTTGTAACAGAATGAAATTTTGAGACATGATATAATCATTTACCAAAGGAACCCATGGTAAATAATTCAAAAATGACAATTTTTCGTGAATTTTACCCGTTTTTTAGTGCGAAAACTACTTCAAAGACCACATTTGTTAGGGTTTTGTGATCACCGCAAATCAGAGGAGATGTAAATCTGCACCAGAATTTCCAATTTCCGATGTGATGTAAGTACTTGTATGTTTCGTTGAGTAAATATCACCGTGACATAGTTTTTCAACTCCCAATTTTTTTCACAACTCCCAACTCCCATTTTTCGGTTTGTTGACCTCATGTTACGCAATATGCACAAGCGCACAAACGATAAACGCACAGACGCTATCAATTCGGCAATCGGGAATTTTTCAATATTAATATGGTTTGTATCTTAAATAAACAATGTACTCCTTCATACAAAAAACTGGGGCAGAATTTGCTGCTATTAGTGGGAAATATGAGAGACACCAGAAAGATACGCCGTTCTCCCATACTTTCGAACGTCTTTGTTCATTTGTTGTGCCCCAAAACAACAAGGTATTCCACTGCTAAAAAACTTTCTCGTTCTCCTCCTGCTTAATCTATGGGTATCTTTCAGACATTTAAGAAGTACCACGCGAAATCCAGGACACAACTACGTAATCCCTCTACCAGCCAAGTGCCCCGGGGTATTATCTTTAAAAATCCTCTAAAGAAACTCAACTCGGGGTATAAGTTTAACTTTGACACAATTGTCGCATTCATGGAGGTAGACAAAACAGCGTTATTAGTGTAACCATGGAAGGCAACTAACGTTAGTACATTCCATGGGATAACAGTGTACATCGCAATTATACCCTTACCATCCGTTTGTTTGTATAAGAGTAACAGTTTCCGGGATAATCGGGAATATAAAGTAAAATAGAGGGAGCTAATTTCTTCCGTTGATCGTAAAATGGATACCTTCAGAAAGTCGACATACCTATAAAATCTGAAATTATTTGAAACATTTATTATTATTATTAGTATTAATATTTATTAGTATTTTCTCACGTGGAACGTTAGAGGTTTAACATACTGTACACATTACCAATAGCTGACTATATGAACTTTTTGATGAAACATGATTTCATTATATTGTCTGAAACTTGGGCTGGGAGTAATAATCAATACGATAACGTTTTTCCTGATTTTGAAGTATTCAGTACATATCGAATTAGAAAGTCGCCTACTGGTCGTTTTTCTGGGGAAGTTTGTGTACTAGTACGTAATGTTTACAAACAATTGATCAAACATATTGTTTGTCCCCTGCATGATTGTATTTTTCTAATATTGATAGAGATATTTTACTGTGTGGTATTTATATTACTCCTGAGCAGTCTTCTTTCTACAATGACTTTAATGGCATTAAACTTTTTGAAAATCAACTGATAGATATTCTAGCCCGATGTTTTTGTAATCGTTGCTGGTGACATGAACGCACGTACAGGTGAAGAACTTGATTACATAATTGACGATGATCCTATTGCTGCTCGTGTAGTGTTTCTAGAAATGAAAGAGAGTAGTACGGCAAGAAGGAGTCGTTTTCTTCCATGATCAGCTGTTTTCACCACAGAGGGCGCCAGTAGCATCTATTTTCAACATACTAGTACTTACCTCGAACCCCACACGTACATCATCACGCCCCACCGTTGCAAAATAAATATATTGAAAACGTTTGAATTGGCGAAAATGAATGCAGACGTAATAAATTAATGTTACGTCCAGATCGCCTCATTAGAACGGTAGTCAAACTGTCGTATAAAACATAAGAATGAGATGGGGGCGCACTTTCAAGTACCGACCGGTGTCCCCTTGACGTGCATTTCCGAAACATAACTATCAGTATCACATTTCTGCAAAACAGGGGTATATACTCAGATTTTGTTTCTGTTCACAACAGGGGCGTTGTGTGGAAACTATGTTTGATAAATAATATCGTATTAACAATGGAGCTATTTTTAGCTCTATGCATACAACGTTCATGTTCTAAAATTACTTTGAAAACAGTGACACTCGTGGTGTTGCTTTCTTGAAATAAAAGACTTGCTAGAAGTATGTCTCTGCCAACACTTCAAATGACAACACAAGCAAGTGAAAATGAAAACCAATCTTGGTACCCTCCTTATTACCAGAGCATCCTTTTTAATTGGCATTTGCAGTGTACGATATTTCACCATACAATTATTGGGTGGGTGGGAGGATTCCAATATTGCATAGCGCCATCAAGTGGCCACCTTAATATATTTTCTTTTCACGTCAATTTTCACTGTATTGTATTATGGGATAAAAATGAAAACATACTTACTCCCAACTTTGGAATTACAATTAAGAGCATCGTTCTACTGGCAAAATGTGTTTTGCATCCCCAATTTTATAAATCAATAAAAACATTGGTGGCTCTCAACTGCCATAAGATGAACTATTCAGTCTCGCACGTATGTAAATATAACAGCGGTTGAAACCCATGAAATTGTTAGCTCTGGTTCATCGTACAAGAATTTTATTTTATTTTAAAGGGTTGGAGACGGCCATTAGTGCGTTTAATTACACTGTCATTTGTTTATTCATGTTTTTTTTATCAATCAATCATTTATCATTTCATCTGAATTAGATCAAAATTCACTTACATATTCAAAAAGCTAGCTGTGAACACCCCCTCCTCTAATACATACATACATACATGGACAAAGAAAGGTGTCCTGTACAACAAATAAGTATCATTCCTTTACGACAATAGTTATTTTTTTTTTCTACAGAAAATTTTATTTTTGATTTCAGAATTTTTTACAGTATTTCATGAAGGAATCTGTCACTTGAAATGGGACAATAAAAATGCATAATGACGTAATAAATATCATATTCTGAGTAAGATATCCGAGAAGGACAAAATGGGAATGATAAATATGTAACATTGTAGCCGGCAAAAATCACAGCAAGTCGAGAGACTACACTCTCGTACAAGTTGATCAGCGTAAAAATAATATCTATTACCCATCCTTTATAATATCGAAATGCCAAAATGAGGATGAGGGTGCCTGGACTTCCACATGAGCAGTGCATTGTGGGTATATTGTATATTGACAGATTAAAACGCTCAAACTGAAAAAAAGAAGGCAGCAATTGAAATCTATATGATTGTTTGGCATTTTCATATATGGTCACCGCTCTGCGTAATATGTGAAACAATGCAAGATTCACATGATGACTGCGGAGAGGTATGCGTGGTTAAAAACTTATGCAAAATACAATTTACTAGAATGTGTTGAAAGCATAGGAACAAAAAGATAACAAGTGATGATAAACTTGTCATACATGTAGCGACTTTACATTTAAAAAAAAAAAAAGTCACTGTAAAAAAGTAAATACAAAATTTGAATATATATCATATACAAAAATGTTTATAGTACTTTATGGGATTACAAATATATTATGAACTATTTATTTTTTACAAGGACTAGATTTCAGCTTTTTTACTTGTATGTTTGATACTGGAGTACATGATTTGAATACTGGAAAAGGAAATGCTATTAACTTGACGAGCTCATATGCCATAGAATAATGGCCAAACTAGGTAGCACTATGTCATATAATAATGACCAATCTAGGTAGCACTAAATGTCATGAAATAATGACCAATCTAGGTTGCACTTAATGCTATGAAACTATGACCACCCTCATTTACTGCGACCTATGGAACTATGATTAAAACAAGATCAGCATGTCTCCATCATTATGTCATTTACGCTAATATTCTCGTTATTCAAATAGATTTTCAGATGAAGCAACCATTTGACTAGGATGCATAAAATAACACCATTGCAGTAGTTCCACACAAGTTACTTTACTGTCCAGACAGACAAACAGACACTTGATCAATGCATGTCAGCAGCCTGTAACAGCATTCAAAGCTGAAAGCAAACAAGCATGATGAACAGATCCAAACGATACATTCAGGACACTTCACCACACTGGTCTCTAGAGGGCAGCAATCAACATACAGAAAGGTTGATTTAATTTGCACTGGTACTTAAAATAAACATGCATTGTTAAACTAAAACCTCTGAACGTACATTTGAAAAAAAAATAGTGTTTTTTATTTACAGTACGTACATACAAGTTCAATATCTGGGGCAAAATAGGACAATATTACTAAAAAAAAAATCTTAACATATTAATAAAAATTAAATAAAAAAAACAAACAATAAAACAAAAGAAAACATATTCCATATTTGCATTATGTACAAAAAACACTGGAAACCTAGTCTATTGATTTCCATTATAAAGTGGTACAACATATCCAACTTTATTTCTCAAACATATCCAAACAATGTCACTTTAAAGCTTCATGTGGTTTTTTTTTTTAGTTGCCATGGAAATTGCAAACTTGAGATAAGACAGCATTATATGGTATGCTTGGGTCATGCAAATACGAACCAAGTTCAGACGAGAACATAATCTGATACGGCAATACAATCCAATCAAAAGAAAGACGAATTGTACCAACTGTATTGCTTGGGTTTATTAAAGGGAAGTGGTCATCATGCATTTGAATTTTCCAACAGCCGCCACTGCCCTTTAAGTGTTGATGTCACCCATTTGATTCTCCTAAGAAATTAGCAAATAATACAATTGCTTTGTAACAATTAACAATTCCTTAGATAGCATTTCAGTTGATACGATCTGCCTTTTTTTCGAATCAGAGTGATACCGCAGCACGTCTTTAGAGTGCTTCACTCGGATTGACACTGTAACACCGTATTGCATAAGCTCGCCAATGTAGACATCTTCTCAAATTAGTCGTTTATTAGAGAACCAAGCAGGCCGTCCGTCCATAAGCATACATTCAGAATGACACACCATAACCATTCACCTGATTCACAATTCAATGTAGCAGACGTAGACAAATGCAACTCGGCAAGTTCTAGGAAACATATTGCAAATGTGAAAGAGGTAGATCCATGCTGAAAACATGTCACATAGGTCAATTCTGTCTATCAATCATCTCAGTTGCGACTGCCTTTCTCTTTCGATTTCTCGTATATCAAACTACATTTGTCATAAAACGTCAGTCATCGCCATCTCTGAAAAGCGTCCCACTTCTTGCCAACTCGTCCAGTTCTTCTGGTTGTACTCTTTTATGCTGAGACCGCAGAGACACAATAGATTTGTTAGATTTATTCGACTTAGTTGACCTAGCTGATTTTGTGCTTCGGCTTCTTGACGACGCTCGCTTCAAGAGATTCTGACTGATGGAACGTTGGAGATTCTTAAGACTAGATGATGCGGCATTGGTCACCAACCACGGATGTTTCATAGATACAGAAGCACCCATTCTCTCATTGGGGTTGACTGTTAATAATTTAACTATAAAATCTTTGGCCAGGTTTGAGACGTCTTTCCAGGGCTGCGAGAGAGAAAAAAAACAAAACAACGAGATCAATAACAGAATTATACCAAATCACATATTTTCAAGAGATAAGTGGCACAAACATTTATATACACTCAAGTATTAATGAACAAAATATGCAAATTAGTGTTTCTGTTGAAGGCAGGTAATTTATATGCAAGTTTCGCATGTTAGTGTTCTACAAAAATGTTGTGCTACCTCCAATGAATACGACCACATTTCCTCAACGTCATCACTTAAGTTCCTTCATTAAATGCCTTCACTTTCACGCAAATTCAATACATGTTTTAGAATAGGAACATACAGGGTATACTGTGGTTCAGGGATTGTTGCCGTTGCTACACAGAGCACACTTGTTCAAGATGGCGGTGCTTGCAAAGGTTCAGCTAGATTATGTTGGTGATTATTTTAGATCAAGGAAGGTTATGAAAAATATTACACGTTTGTTCCCTCTTGCAAGGAGAGCACATTTGCTCTCCTAAAATCAGGTGCAAATGCCCATATTTGGTAAGTAATATACACAGTCTGCAAAACACTGCATATACGATATATACTAATTGACTGAAACAAGACAATCCTGTTAGAACACATTGCAATTGCACGTCCCTACCTTGGCGATACACATGCAAACAGTAAAGTATGCAAACAAACAATTTTTGAGGTTTTTTTTTTTACCCCTGTCTATTCGTCATACTAACAATTAATACATTTATCATAAAACTTTGCAAAATTAAAACCAGTCAACTGATCCACTCCAATGACCTTGAACATGGAATCAGATACAGTATTGTAAAGAGAATGCTTTTCAGAACACTGACCTCTATTAAACTTTATTAAATTCTCACACATGACTATTGTACAATTTTGGATGACTCATTTGAGAAAAATTGGCGACTATTTAGCTATTTGATTAAGTAGAACTCTTGTACAGACTGGAGACGAGAAGGCAATAATAAAACAAAAACAAATGTTGTCTTTGTCAGGGATGTTGTATTTTGAAAAACAAAGTACAGTGCCTCCATTGATAACTGGTGGCAATACATGCATCATTACACTGTCTAATTGGGTAACCTTGTCCACTGCATCTATACATCAAACTCTATTATGTCCGCCACTGGTTCTCTGGGGTGTGATTTCAAGTAACCATTTTCCCTAACACTTGTAAACCCATTTATGCTAACAGTTTATTCCCATAAGGCACTTCTAGTAGAAAATATGTGATTTATGTGAAAATAGAGATTCAACCCCTGGAACCTGATTCAACCCTGGAACCTGATTCAACCCCTGGAACCTGATTCAACCCTGGAACCTGATTCAACCCCTGGAACCTGATTCAACCCCTGGAACCTGATTCAACCCTGGAACCTGATTCAACCCCTGGAACCTGATTCAACCCCTGGAACCTGATTCAACCCTGGAACCTGATTCAACCCCTGGAACCTGATTCAACCTTGGAACCTGATTCAACCCTGGAACCTGATTCAACCCCTGGTAGCTGAACATTTTTATGCATTTGTCTGCATGTACTTTGTTAATTTTGAACCAAAAAAAAACTTACTTTCATGCCTTGAAGAAAAATTTGAAAAATAGGGAAAAAGAAATGGCACTTTATTTTGTGACAATGGCAAAAGTTGTCAAACTAAAAAATAACTTTAAGTTCATTGTGTTTTAAGTTCATTTTTTTTATATATTTCAACGCTACTGATACTATACAAATTTAAGAACAAACTCTTTATCTCAATTTTACACATGCAAGAAGTTTTTTGATGAGCACATATTATAGATTGTTTGCATTAAAAATGGCAGTTGTCATGTAAAAGCTACCAGTGTGGTAAATCCAAGTAATTATTCCTATGAGATGACTCATCGAAAATTTATGCTAACCGGTGACATATTGTTTTGTAATCTGTGGAGAAATCTTAATTGTACCGGCAATGCACTGCTGTGCTTTAATCTGGCAAGAGACAAATGTTTAGGAATATGCATCTAACTGTGACCTTCACAAAATCCCCTAAAATTAATGAAATTCCAAAAAATGTTTAAGGTACTAAACTATCATATTCAACTAAAGATTTTAAATTATAGAAATCATCTCCAAAACGACCAATTTTCTATTTGATTCTGAAGTCATTTTTAACGCACTAATTTTCTCCCTAATTTTTTTTCATAAAATGGCTACTTCTGCATTTTGAATGCATTTTTGCATGAATAGTAAATAGCAACAGTTCTTCTCCTTCAGAACATCTCATGTCAACTTCACAATTTCATGACTATCCCACCAATGTTGTAAAAATCAAAATAATATTTTCTTTCTCTGACATACTGTGTACCAAACTACTGTAGATTGAGCTAACATTTACCTACACTATTCACACATGGCCAGGAATTCAAATTAAGTTGCACACTGCATATGAACATATGTATTATAGAAGGCAAAAAATTAAACCAGGTGTTTTTTGCAACACTCTAGGGGAATACTTGAAAATAAATAAAAGTAATAAAAAGAAAAGTACAATGGTGCTACCATACTTAGCTTAGGAGTGAAATGTGTTACACATTTATAATTCATGGGGATGGTAGGTTACAGTTTGAAATTTACTAATTTAGGCGATCTGAAGTTGTTAGTTAATTTATTTTGCAATATATCTTAAATAATATCGTTTTTTTTTTTTTTTTGAGATTTTTTTTTTCATCCGTTCTGATGAAATCTGAGACAAAGTAAATGTACAAATATTACTTCTACTTGTAGTGTTTATATGCTTCTATTCTATGGAACATGACAACACTTGTAACATTTCCTGGTCAAAACAGTAAGCGTTACTAAGTAATATTACATTTCAACCGTTTCATTCAGATACCAGCGTACCTTTTGTCGATAACACTAACAACGTCACGTTTTCTTTTTAGAGCTAACGTTGTGGACGAAGCCTGGATAATAATACGTACAATTGTAAGAGAGCAGTGTTCTTTGTCTGGTAACAGTGTTACTCATCATAGTTTATTCAGAGGCAATCAACAAGGCATGAAATAAATGATGTTATAGATGAATACTACCTTAACAATTACATTGACGTGTAAGAAAAATAGTCGTTCTTTTGATGGCGTTAACGTTACATGCTTAACAATGGGCGTTTGATCACCAGTAACGTAGACCTGAGTTCAAATACTCCTGCGGGTTGAACAAACCGATTATTATCAGGGCGAATATTTTTTTAACGAATAATTCGATTGGGTCATCATCTTCAGAAGTGAAAATTGCAAAGAAATTTTCGCTATGATGATTTGCTTTAAAAGTGGTTTGTAGGACAAGGCCAGAGGTTCAGTCAGTTGTAAATAAAAAGTCCTTATCTCATACTTAAGCGAGAGTGGCCTTTCAGAAAATGATGTCGGACAAAAAGACGAGAAAACCTTAAAAGTACCCTTTGAAACGCAATTTACAGGTGTCTAATGCATAACAGACCTCGAAGGACAAGCACTTAGTGGGGAGATTTTCTCAGCTTGCAAATAATAAAAAATCCAATAACTACAATCATGGAAGAAATGTGAAATGTTGGCCAAGACCCTGTTTTATGAACTAGAAATAAGAAATCAAAGGGCAAGCATTATCAGAAAGTGAATAAAACATTTGAGATAAATGTTCTAATATTGAATTATTAAAATATTAGTTATTTTGACCATAGAAACATTTCTGTAGCTTAAGTCAGTATATATGGTAACAAAACACAAATACAAATTATTAATTAATTTTGCTGAATGTAAAACAGAACGTATCCAGGATTTAACACTGATGAGTTTCTACGTCTTTGTCATTTTTGCTTTTATTGAGATCAGAATAGTCAACAAGAGATCTGTCAAACACTACACCCGCCACTATGTGTTATTTCTTTACAGACAACAAGACAACATACCAAGATTGTGTACAAGTACAAGACGCAATGGAAGCTAGAAACCAATGAGACAGCACAATTATGACTTACCAGACATGACAACACTAGTCTAACAGACAACAAAAAATAGCGTTCATTTTTCTTACACAAGTTTTTTTTACCCCAAATGAATATGTAAATTATATGTTGATTTTGTTATATAAATTTTGTTGATTTATTAATATTAATTTGTTTAAGTACATATTGCAGGGAGAACTACAAAAACAATCATCATTACAAATAAATGCGATAATCAAATTACGTGATAAAAATAGCTTCCTCTCCACATGAATAGTACTTGTCATAATACAATACTTGTACTCTAGACAAAAATAACCCACGTCTAGTTACCTCCTGCATCGCACATAACCTTTCCAGAGTCTTAAGTATCTTGTTTATTTCAACCCCTCTAGTTTACTCATAACCTCATCTGTAGGTATTGCAGTGTAGGTGTATTCATGCCACACACACCCTGCGCCCGTTCATTGAGGATGGACAATGAGGACAACGACTGGGCGCTTGAACCACAAGTCACCCCATCTTTACGTACTAGCACAACACTCATTCACAGCAAGCCTATGTCTATCCTTGCATTCCGGAGTTTTATTCATATAGTACTTTAAAGGAATGCCAGAGAAGTCTCATGGAACGCTACTTTTGTATTGGCCATTCTTCGAAAACACTTCGTTTTGTTGTGGTTACTTGCATCAACTGATCATGTCAGGTAGATTTCATGCTCAATGCTAGCAACCAAAGAAAACTCCTTCAGTCTTTATTGAGGTTTTTTTTGAAAAAAATAAAATCTGTAAACCAATTTACAGTAAAGCTTAGAGAAAATGTTACACAACATAGTAGAAGACCAGAGTTTTTTAGATACCGTAACATTATAATGTAAACATGTACAATGGTTCCTGAGCTAGTTGTATTCTTTTCCCTCATGAACTAAAGATGGGAACTATGCATTGTTTTTTTGAACTCTACAATATTTCTTAGATATGTGCTTTTGCAACTATCTAATTATGAAATGCGACATAAATGAAATAGTGGAATGAAAGTGACATCAGCGTAAAA